GGTATGGGATGGGTGGGTGGTCAAGGTGCCCCATGCCCTGGTCTCAGCCTGTTCCTCCCAGTCCTTCCCAGTGGAGTTTTTTCTGGGGCCTGAGTCTTGTTCACTCTCTCCTAGGGTGATGTGGGCCAGGACGGGGCCCCCGGAATCCCTGGAGAAAAGGTGACAGTGTGTGTTTTATGTGTGCGTGCTTGTGTGTGAGAGAGAGACAGACAGGGGGACAGAGAGATAGGAGAGAGAGAGATATATATAGAGAGAGGCCAGTAATCCGGCACTTTGAGAGGATGAGGCAGGAGGATCATTTGAGCCCAGGAGTTTGAGACTAGCCTGGGCAACATAGCAAGACCTTGCCTCAAAATAAACAAATGAATAAATAAATAAATAAATGCCAGGCATGGTGGTGTGCACCTGTAGTTTCAGCTACTTGAGAGGCTGAGGTGAAAGGATCACCTGAGCCTAGGAGTTTGAGGTTGCTGTGAGCCATACTCCAGCCTGGGTGACAGAGTGAGACCCCAACTCAAACAATAATGAGTGAGAGAGAGAGAGAGAGAGAGAGAGAGAGAGAGAGAGAGAGAGACTGATTGAGTCTGGGTACAGAACAAGCCCAGGAGTCTGGGAAACATCATAATGCACCGGAAAGAGCCTCTAAAGTGAGAGAGCCATGGGTTCAAGCCCCAGCTCTGCCACTTGCCTGCCGTGTGACCTTGGGCAAATTACTTAACCTCTCTGAGCCTTTGTTTCCTTCTCTGTAAAATGGAAATAATCTCAGTCCCCACCCCAGTGGGCTGCAGTGACAAATGAAATGACTTACTGTGTGCCTGACATGCAGTAGGCACTCAATAAGTGCTGAGTCTTATTGTCATGATGTGGGGATCCGGGAAGGGGCAGACAGGAGACCCTGACTTTTGTTTCTGTTTCAGGGCCTCCCTGGCCTGCAAGGCCCTCCAGGGTTCTCTGGGCCGAAGGGCCCCCCCGTAAGTGAGGTCACCCTCATTGGGGGCCAGGTAGGGAGAGGGCCTGGGGAGGGGTGAGTCTCTGTCACCTGTACCTCCACTTTCTCCCACCTTGTCCCCTCAGGGTCATCAGGGGAAAGACGGACGACCAGGGCACCCTGGACAGAGAGGAGAGTTGGTGAGTGACTCCTTCACCTCTAGCCCCTGGCCCCCCAGGCCTTCCTTTTCTCCCCCTCCATAGGACCCCCTATTTTATTTTTCTTGCCAGGGGTTCCAAGGTCAGACGGGCCCGCCGGGACCAGCTGGCGTCCTGGGTCCTCAGGTCAGAGTGGACCCCATGAACCGCGGCCATTTTGCACCAGTTGGGGGCTGGCTATCTGGGCAGAAGTTGCCTCCCTGACAGACTCCCCCACCCCCACTAAGATGAGCCTTCTTCCTCTCCAGGGAAATACAGGAGAAGTGGGACCCCTCGGTGAAAGGGGGCCCCCAGGCGCCCCCGGACCTCCTGGTGAACAAGGTCTTCCGGGCCTGGAAGGCAGAGAGGGAGCCAAGGTGAGGCGCCATCCCATGGGAGATCTTGGGCAGGTGGCCCCTCAGGGGTCTTCATGTCCCCCCAGGCCTGCAAACCAGACTTGGCGGGAGACACCCCATCTCTGGAGTCTGACTTCCCCTCTCAAACTCCTGCAGGGGGAGCTGGGACCACCGGGACCCCTTGGGAAGGAAGGACCAGCTGGGCCCAGGGGCTTCCCAGGTGTCCAGGGAGCCCCCGGGGAGCCGGTGAGTGTCCTTTGTGGCCCCCCATGTGATTCTGGCTGGCTGTGATGCTGGGAAGCAAAGGAGGCTCAGGGGAGGGACACAGGCCTGGCATCCTGGAGGGAGGCAGCTGTGGAAGTGGATGAATGGTGGCTGGGGGGACCTGGAGGAGACAGACCCCCGTCTCTGCACCCAGGCCCAGGAAGGGGTGAGGACTATGTCCCCCAGAGGAAGACGACTTGGGGATCCCTTCAGGGGTCTTTTGACTGAATTATCTCCTTCTCCAGGGACCAACTGGTTTGAAAGGTGACAAGGGACCCCCAGGGCCCATCGGGGCCAACGTGAGTGTAGCCCCATCTGCTGTGGGGGGCAGGGTGGAGAGAACTCAGGGGATCTGGGCATCTTGGCAGTGTCACGATAAAGCCCATCTTGGGGGTTGAACGGGCCCAGGTCACACCCAGCACTGCCACTCACTGGCTGGGCGGTTGAGATGGTGCTGGGTGGTGTGGCGTGTTGCTCCGGGGTTTCTTTGACTTCGCCACAGAAAAGGATTTCAGAGTGAGTCCCAAGGATAGTTTAAGACAGAATTTGGTCTTTTTTTTGAGTTGGAGTCTCACTCTGTCACCCAGACTGGAGTGCAGTGGCCGCTCCCGGCCACCGCAGCCTTGACTTGCTGGGCGCCGGCGATCCTTCCACCTCAGCCTTCCGAGTAGCCAGAATTACAGGCGCGCACTCCCATGCCTGGCTGATTTTTTGATTTATCATAGAGATGAGGTCTCGCCAAGTTGCCCAGGCGGGTCTTGAACCCGTGGGCTCAGGCAGTCCACTCACCTCGGCCTCCCAAAGCGCGGGATTACAGGCTGAGCCATCGAGCCCAGCCTAAGACAGGATTTACTAGAAAGAGAAGCCGGGCTCGGTGGCTCAGCCTGTAATCCCGCGCCTTTGGGAGGCTGAGGTGAGTGGATGGCCTGAGCCTGCAAGGTGGTCAGGTCTGGTGTGCTGGTGGGTCGGGTGAAGGTCGTGATAGATAAGAAAGATGCCTGACCACTTACCCTATTTCAATTTCAATTGCCCACAAGAAACTTATGTCTAACCTGGACTGAGTAACCTGCCTCGGGGTCACTTGGGGAGCCTGTTTCCTTGTCCTTAAAATAGCCATACTGAGAAGCCTCGACTTATACATGACCACAAACCTCAGTGAAAGGACCCACCCAGCAAATCCTCACCAGACACCAGCGTATGAAGCCCTCATGTCTCCTGAGTGTACATTCTAGTGGGGGCGGGCAAGCAGTCGGCCAGCGGCAAATACCACGAGGCAAAACAGAACTGCAGAGCAGAGCACAGGGACTGGTCAGGGGACCCTTAAATTAAGCTGATTAAAAGGAGTAAAAACACCCTGAGGCAGGAGGATCACCTGTGTCCAGGGGTTCGAGGCTGCAGTGAGCTATGGTTTTGCTACTGCACTCCAGACTGGGCGGCAGTGAGGCCTCAGCGCTAAAAAAATCAAAATAAAATAAATTAAAAATTAAAATAAAATAAATTAAAACAAAATGAAATAGACAGGTCAGGGAAGGCCTCACCTGAAGGAGGTGAGGAGGGAGTCATATGGCTATCTGAAGGAAGAGCGTTCCAGGCAGAGGAAACAGCATGCACAGGCTGGGCGTGGTGGCTAACACCTGCAGTCCCAGTGCTTGGGGAGGTTTTAGAGGATCACTTGAAGCCAGGATTTGAGACCAGCTTGGGCAACATAGTGAGACTTTATCTCTACAAAATAAAGATAAAATTAAGCAGACATGGTGGTGCATGCCTGTAGTCCAGCTATTTGGGAGGCTGAGACGGGAGGATTGCTTGAGCCCAGGAGGTTGAGGCTGTGGTGTGCTATGATTGTGCTGCTGCACTCCAGCCTGGGCGACACAGCAAGACCTTGCCTCAATTAAAAAGAGAAACAGCACAAGCAGGCTGGGCGCAGAGGCTCACGCCTGTAATCCCAGCACTTTGGGAGGCTAAGGCAGGAGGATCACTTGAGGCCAGGATTCGAGACCAGCCTGGGCAACAGAACAAGACCCTCTCTCAAATTTAAAAAGGAAAAGAAAAACAGTATATGCAAATGCCCTGAGTCAGGACCATGCCTGGTCTGTTTGGGGACCCGCAAAGAGGTCTGTGTGGGCCGAGGGAGCGAGGAAGAACGTGGAGGGATGCCAAGGCAAGGAGGAGACAGGATCACTTGGGCAGGGACCAGGGGCTGCCAGGAAGGTTTTGACTTTGGCTTTTGCTTGCAGTGAGGTGGGATCCTGGGAGGGCTGTGGGCAGAGGAGGGGCCTGCCCTGACTTGGGCACCCTCTGGCCGTAGGGAGGGGAGCAGGTTAGACCCGATGCTGGAAACCATCCAGCTCAGCGCCTGGTGGCTACAACCCTCCAGGATGGACGGCTACGATTGTTGGTGTATTTCTGACCTTTCACCCCTGCTTTCAGGGCTCTCCCGGTGAACGGGGTCCCGTGGGCCCAGCAGGAGGCATTGGGCTTCCCGGCCAAAGTGGCGGCCAAGGCCCTGTTGGCTCTGCGGGCGAGAAGGGGTCCCCGGTAAGCAGCCTGCCTGCCCCTCCTCGGGCCTCCTGAGGACCTGGCCGCCCACATCCTGGGACCCACCCCGACACTCCCCTTTCCTCTCCCCCACCAGGGAGAACGTGGCCCCCCTGGCCCCACGGGCAAAGATGGGATCCCAGGGCCCCTGGGTCCTCTGGGTCCCCCTGGAGCTGCAGGGCCGGCTGGTGAGGAAGGAGACAAGGTGAGGGGCTCGCAGGGAGGAGGGTCCGGTGGGGATGGGCGTGAAGGGAGGCGGGGTCCTTCTTCATCCCATTTCCTCTGCAGGGGGAGGTGGGCGCCCCCGGCCACAAAGGGAGCAAAGGCGACAAGGGAGACGTGGTGAGTGGGGCGCCCCGTTGAAGGGGTGGGGGCAGTAGGCCAGC